TTCTCTTATGAGATCATGCATGGGAGAGGCTAAGGAACAGTAATACCCCCTGGCAGGCTCTAGCTGTTGAGAAGAGTGCCTGGTTGACAGCTGGAAAGAAAACCAGGACCTCAGATATACGTACGTATACAAGTCTGCCAACCATTGTTTTAGGACAGAAGGGGACAGCTGATAACTTGTTTACGGCCTTGCCTTCCTACTAGAAGAGGACTCAGTTGACCCATGCTTAGGCATCCCAATTACATAAGGGAGATAGCAAACGTCTCTGTTGTGGTGATTATTACATAGAAATAGAATACTAACATAGGACCCTGAGTTCCTAAGCATAGCTAGGAGGAATACAAAATCTACATCAATAGCAGGTAAAAACAAAGCAAGACCTAAGAGTACAAATCTTTGCAAACTTCAGTAAGTATAGTGCCAGAGATGTCTCCTTAAGTGTATTCATACAAGCTTTATAGACAGGCCCACACATAATAAAGTCTATTGCCTTTTGTCAGCCTCTGCTAACATTCTCCAAACCACAACTCAGCAAAGACTTAAGGAGAGTTCCACTGGCTCTTGCCCTAATATACACTGATTTGCCCTTGGCAGCACTGGGTGTACTGTGTTTCTTCCTATGTCTCTAACATGAAAAACTTAAAACAACAACAACAACAACAAAACAAACTCCACATAAAAATTGCATCCACACATAAAGAATTATAACCTTAACACATTTTAAAAAATCTTTTGGTAATGCTATATAAGTATGCATAAAATATATATAAACATTAATGAGGACCACCTTTGTTTTGAAGATGTTAGGTACCACCATATTGATGGGGTACATCAGGTTACAATTTGTCTTAGTAACCACATAGAGAAGGAAGCATTCTGTCCAAATTTAGATAAGTCTGGAACATGTAGGCTAATGCACCATCATGTTTGGAATGGACATGCCTCTCTATCTTCCAAAAAAGGAATATAAGTTTTCATCAGATAATACTTATGCCACAGATGGTGACAAATATTCATACTTAATAACTGGATTTTTTCGGAATATATCCTTAAAATGTTATTATTTTTGCTTTAATATTTATGATATTAATATAGTTAAAGTCAACATTTATTCAGACAGGTTACAGTGCACTAAACATAGTCAAGAAAGTATCTATGTAAACATAAGCTATATGTTGGGTATGATCATAGTCATATATGCCTGTATGTGCTAAGTGAGAAGTATTCATCCATGAAATGAATCAAACAAATTATTGTAATTATTTTTTCTCCATGAATGGGATATATGGATTCAACAGCTAAAGAGTTTTTGGTCTCTGTCTCATTATACTTCAATTAAAAAATCTAGAAGATGTTTCAATTAGTACACTTTAGTTATAATATAAGTAGTATTTGTTTTCAAAAATGTTTATAAATTATATATATGAAAATGAGGGGAAAAAGAAAGCTTGACAGTGCAGATCAGTAGAGTAGCAATAGGTGATAAAAACCTAACCTCTTTCCTGTTGTCCTGGCAAACTTTAAGTTTATAGTACTATGCTGTAGATATCTGGATGGGAGCACATTTATTTTTCCCCTGGGGAGATCTTTAGCTGATGCCCTGAATTCTTTTAATGTTTTTAATTTTGGTAGTAAATCAGTAGGGGTAATAATAAAAAAACAGTTTGTGTATTGTTTGTTAGAAAGAGAAAGTGTGCCAGGATGTTTTTTTTCTCTTTTATTTATATTAAAATTGTTCAAAATAAGAATAAAACCACCCCCCAGAGCTCCCAGCGACTAAACCACCAAGCAAAAAGTACACATGAAGGGAACCATGGCTCTAGCTGCATATGTAGCAGAGGATGGCCTTCTCTGGCATCAATGGGAAGAAGGGCCCTTGGTCCTGTGAAGGCTTGATGCCCCAGTGTCGGGGAATGCCAGGGCAGTGAGATGAGAGAGGGTGGGTGGGGTAGCACCCTCATAGAAGCAGGGGGAAGGGGATGGAATAGGGGGTTTGTGAAGGGGAAACCAGGAATGGAGGTAACATTTGAAATGTAAATAAATAAAATATCCAATAAAAAAAAGAATAAAACCTACATGAGCAAGCACATAAAACATGCCCCAGAAATGAGGTAGAAATGAATAGTCAACTCAATGTTCACTGAATAAAACAGCAATATAAAATTTTCAGCACACCTTTTAATTGCAGAGGTTGCAATTAAAATTTTGATACTCTGAAACTTGGATACAGCCTTGTCTTTTGTAAGAAAATAAATTACTTTTATGAATGTATCAAGTGAAAATAAAATGTTCATTGGAAAATTTTTCATGGCTAGAACTACTTAATAAAATTGTATCAACAAAAAAAATTGTATCAACAAGAAAATATGTCTTAATAAGATCAACTAAATCTTTAACTGAAAGAATGATATTTCCACAATTCTACATTTAGCAAATTCTATGATTGAGAATTTACTTAATTTCAGATTTTTTAAAGTTATCCTGCAATTTAATTAAAAAATTAGATCAGAAAATAGCAATCTTTTTGTAACAGAGTTTCTTGAGAGAAAAGATATTCATTAAATGTTGGAAACAAAATCTTCCACTGTCAATGTTTATGTTACTCACTACTTGGGAATTCTTTGGTTTCATGCACTCTGGATCTCTCCAGGAATCCTCAAGACCATGGGAGCACAGATCAGGTATGGTCACCAAATATATATATATATATATATATATATATATATATATATATATATATATGTATGTATGTATGTATGTATGTATGTATATGTATATATATATGTGTGTATGATATTCAAATATATATGTATTTTATATATATATATATATAGAGAGAGAGAGAGAATGAGAGAGAGAGAGAGAAAGAGAGGGAAAGAGAGAGAGAGAGGGAGAGAGAGAGAGAGAGAGAGAGAGAGAGAGGTATGTTGGAATATGATTAGCTTCTAAAGAAAGGATTTAAAATTTTCTAAGCTTCGATTCTTTAACAAAAATGTATAAAATAGTGTGATTCACACACACACACACACACATAACTCCATCTCTCTACATGTGTACTTCTGCTTATCATGAGAGTCAGAGAGAGGCCACATTCTCATACTGCAGCCTATTTTATTAGCAACTGAAATGCAAATGTCTCTCTGAGGTGGTCCCTAGGTTTCTGCTGGGATGACTCAGTATACAGTATACACTATACTCCATTCAACTTTAAATGACAATGGGATAAGTCAACCAGTATTTTCTAATCCCTGACCTTTAAGACATACACTCAGGACCAATGTTTAGATCATCTTGGTTTGGAATATTCATCTGTTAAGAACTTAAATACCATCATCTGTTAAGAACTGCTCTTCAGAGATCCCAGTTATAGCAGCTAGAAACAGTGGTGTTGATTTTGGCAGTATGTCACCTTTAGAGCAGTTAGAATCAGTAGTATTGATTATGAAGGTGGTAACGGTGGACAGGACTTGAACTAGTGACTGAGTAATTTTTTCTTACTGTCATCTAATAAAACACAACATGAAAAGGTAAAGACTGGATATGTATAAAGATTATTTTAAAGAAGAACTAAAAAAAAAAATGTGAACAAATAGTCACGACTAGCCTTGACGAGGCTGAATTTCAAAAACAAAACCCAAACAAAACCAAAGAGTCATCTTTCTGGCATGCAAAACTTGTCCAACTCTTTCAAAAGATTAAAATCTTGTGTCCCACTCTAGAAAGATCTGCATATACAGATAGTCTGTGTGGAAGTGGAAAGAGATGTTAAATCTCACACAGGCTCCAGGAGATGCACTGCCACAGTATAAAATAGGGACCCCTTGAACTGCTGAGAATGAATGAGTCTTTTAGAATGAATGAGTCTATATGAGTTTTATGAAACAGACAGGAAAGGGAGCAAGAGGAAAGGGAAACTGCCTGTAATGAAGATGTGGGTATTCTGGTGGGACCTGCTGTCAGCATTTCTTAAGAACAGAGTTATAATCAATTACAAAATCCGAGGCTACAGCACAAAAAACCTGGAAGAGAGGACCTGACCGTGGTCCTGAAAGATCCCGGGCTATTTCCAGAACACAAAACATTGTATCTGCACTCACATTTTTTTTTCCCACAGTCCAACCCAAAAAGTCAGATATTCAATACTATTTCACTTCTCAAGACTCTGAAACTTTCCCTGTGGTCGAATCAGTCTTCACAGTATTCAACTCCTTCTTCCTCAATAGTCATTCCTTGAGTATTATGGTAATTGCAGCGTTAAGAGGCCAGATTCTGAGAGACTCAAAACACTCAGAAAAGTCTATGGACAGATCACACCTGGCCTGCATGGGTCTACGCAGAATTTCTTAAACTCGAATGGGAAAACACAGGAGTCTGGGAAAACCTCCAAACTCTAATCCGGACACCGTCAGAACTCTAGAAAAATAAAGTGCACAGAATCTCACCCTGCATCAAGCTACTCAAGGTCCCGGACAGCACAGGTCCCACATTGTTGATCATTTTCAGACCTGTGTTCCTGTGTGCCAGACCTAGGCAATCAAGTGATTCATCTAAACCAATACCAAGTGCTTTTATGATGTGTGTGTGTGTATGTATGTGTGTGTGTGTTGGGGGGGTGGTCTTGTTTTATTTTGTTTCCTTTTCTCCGCCTAAAAGATACCCTGGCTACTCTGACAAGAAAAGAAGGCAAATTATTGCGCGGATGGAAACAGGGGAGAGGGAGTAAAAGTCGAAGAGAAAGCGATCCTAAGGAAACGGGCAACTCCAGCAAGCCCTACTTACGTGTTCCGTCGAAACGGGTGGCAATAGTGTCCAGGAAGGTGTTCTGTGGCGCCAGTAATCCTTTCATAACCGGCATTTTTCCAGCGCTGTGTGAAATTCCCCATCAAAGTTTGTCCACAAGGATGGCTCTGTAGGAAAGTGCCAAGCTGGGAGAAGCCACTAGGAGCGTGATGACGGCAGGGGCGGGGGGCCAGGCGTGCAGAGGATGGGGCCAGGCAAAGAAGGGGGGGTGGATGGCAGCAGAAGGAGCTACTCCCCGGCCACTGCACGGTGACCAGAGCAGCCCGCGATCAGAGCTCTCAACCCGCTTCGTTCCGGGCTTCCTCTTCTGTTCCCTCCTCTTTTTGCAGCGACACCCCCAGGGTCTCTCCGTAGAGCCTTCGAGAGCCCACGGTGGCCCGGGGCGCCGCGCCCTGACCCGTGCTCTAGGGTCGTGGAGGACGGCGCCCCATCTGTGGAGACTGCGGCGCTAAGCCTCAAGTACCCCAAGGACGCTGAGGAATAGAGAAATGCGAGCCAGAGCAACTCCCGCCCCCCAGGAGCCGGGAACAAAGACCCCTTTGTTCGAGCTCTGTCCCTCTCCCGGGAGACCAGAGTCCCGTGGGTGTGGTGTCGTGGAGGGGAGGAGACAGGTCACCGCAGGTAACCCGCCTCCGCCTAGAACTTGGGAGGGGGAGGCACCCCACCGTGGTGTCCTAGGTAGCAAAGGCAGCCTGGGGCTCCGGAGGGAGGTTGTCCCCCTTCCGGTGCACCTGCCATCCCCAGCTCCAAGTCAGCTGAGTGCCTGCCACTCTGATTACCAGGGTCTCTCCAGGTGTGAGGTTTTGTAAACTCTTCTTCTTCCGCTCTAAAAGGAAATTCAGGTACACTCCCTTGTCAAATTCTCATTGCTCTTCTCCAACCACCAAAACTTAAAAGGGGAAAAACCCTCTTAAATGGGTAATGGTTTCCCTCTCTCCCCCGAAATGCGCATAGAGCGTTTCTAGAAAAGTTTGCTATTTTTATTGATTTATAAAATACATGGAAGTAACAGAGGTTTGTTGTTGTTTCTTTTTCTGTGTAAAAGCTGCTTCAATGGGATCCCCTCTCTCCTGCCGTAAGGGTCCCTCAACCCCACCCTCAGCCCCTGAACTAGCCGGGCGCCGGGAACTGCCGGTATTTCAGAAAAACTAAAAGCGATCTCTCTACCCCTTACGCTAGTGCTCAGGAGAGGACTCCCTCTCCACCTACGTTCTGTGAAAGAAAGCCACCCAAACCTAGAGCACATCCCTGCAGGAGTGCAAAGGGAAGTGCGGAGCCCCGGTTCCACTGAATCCCTAGCAAGGAAAGGGAAAGTTAAGAGTCCAAGAGAGAACAAACAGAAGCCCAGGTGCTGCTGCACCCGGAAAGGAAGGAGGGAAACGCGAACAGGTGTCTGCGGTGCTGCAGAGACCGCTGGGTCCCCGCCTCCAGGATTCGGGCGTGGCAGCAGGTGCAAGCAGCCCTAAAACATCTGCCAGAGGCTCTTAGCTCGAATCCCTGGGGATCCTGGGGTGATGAAGGGACTCTAGGGGTTTCCTCGCTGCGGTCCAGGCTTCTGTGAGGGCGGGGTAGAAAAGGAAAGGAGGCAGCTCCCTGTCCCCGCCCCTGGTCCCCTTTACTGGTGATGCACTTCCTGCTGCCGAGGATTCCCTTTGTGTTGAGATTCCAGATCCGCCCACACACGCTGGAGCGGGAGGGTCGGGGATTCCGGGTGGGTGGCCACCTCCTGAGGCTCAGGCTATTTGTCCCTTTTCCTTCCGGTTACTGCTCCTGATTAGCGGTGTCTCCCCTCCCTCAACCCCCTCTTTATGGAGCCAGTTGTTCCTTGCAGGGAAACCTGGCTGCCCCCCCCCCCCCCCCACACACACACACAGCTGAGCTCTGCTGGCTCCCTCTTGGGCGGAGCCAGGAGAGAGAAATGGGGGAGTCCCTGCTCGGCTTCTGCATGGGCGGTTCCTGGCTCCAAAGAAAACCCAGACTGCCTCTGCCAACGGAAGAGTGGGAAGTGGCTTGAAGCTAAGCATGAAATTTATGTGTAAGCCACTATACGTGTGCCTGAGCGTGAAAAAAAAAGCCAACAAAAACAACTGTTTCCTCTTTAGTCTGGCCTGGCTTGCTAGAACGAAACCATACCGGGGTTTAGTAATGGAAACCCAAAAGGCCGTTGGGTTCTGTAGCAAGAGAAGTCAGTCATGTATCATTTCATAGTTTAGTCTTTCCTCCATTATCCAGAGCAAATCAAGGCTAGTGCTGGGCACAATGTCCCTGCCCTTAACTCACCTGAGATCCCAGCCTTCCACCAAACAGCTTGGAAGGGGACCATACTGCCTCTTGTTTCCTTTTTCTACCCGGATATCTTTCTCATCTTTCATCTTTGGTCTTGAGTTCCAGGATCTCTAAGCTCAGCTCAAACACCCTCTGGTATTTCTGCTAAGTGTTTGTAGCACCAGAGGCCAAACAACCCTATTAAAACGCAACCACCACAGGAGTCTAAGCACACTGAATCCTCTTAATTGTATTTTGTCACCTTCAAATCAAAGATAGAAATGTGTCCTGATGGTGTTGAGCTGAAAGGGTTTGTGGCCCCATGAGGAGAGCAACAATACCAGCCAACCACAGCTCCCAGGGTCTAAACCACCAGCCTGGGAGCACTTAGGGAGGGATCCATGGCTTCAGCTGTATATGTAAGATCAGAGGGCCCTGCTGGGCACAGGTGGAAGAAGAGATCCTTGACGTCATGAAGGCTGGACGCCCCAGGGGGTGGGAATTTGAGGGTGGGGAGGTGGGAGTTGGGGGGTAGGTAGGGGTTACATCCTACATCCGAAGAGAAGAAGGAGGAGGGGTGAGGAGATAGGGGGTTCCTGGGTGGGTGGGGGATGGGGTAAGGGGACAACATATGAAATGTAAATAAAACATCCAATAAAAAAAGAAAAAAGAAAAAGAAATGTGTCCTGATAGGCAACTGTCCTAAACCTTATCTTTTACTTAAAGGAAAATCCTTTGCTGATGGACCAAAAGAACACCAATTCATTTTATTGTACATCCTTCTCCACTGCAGGGATTCAGAACTTGCTCTGTGGCCTGCACAATACTGTAGGACAGCCCCACAATACACACAACCTAAAGGCCTTATGGAAAAGTCAAATTTTGGGTTCTACAATATAACATAAGGCACAAAATTCCTGTAACCAGAGCACTAGATTTCTTAAACTGTGGAAAACTCTAGGTAAAACTGACACAGGCAAAGCTCTCTGATTTACTTACAGAACAGTACACCAAATGTCCCTAAATTCAAACACAAATCATATCTTGCAATATCTTGCAAGCTGAGTTTGCCTGCAGGAACACAGCTTTCCTTAGTCACTGTCAAAGCTAACTAAACTTCTTCAAGATACAGATGCCAGCCAAGTCCTCTCATGGGTTCACTGAGATAGTCTAAGGTAAAGTGGTTTAGTCTGTTGTAGGTTGCATGTCTCCCCAAGAAAAGTCACACAGTGTTCCCTTTCCAGTTATATTTTGACTGGGGCCCTAGCCCATGTGGTCATGTCCCCACATTAAAAGTAGGTCCTCTCTTCTCAGTTAATGGTCTGGAAATACAGAGGCAAGCCAAATCCAGTCAAGTTGAAAAAAGAGATTAACCACTGCATACTCCTGATACAAAGTTGTATTAGGAAATACAATAAATATCACTGATACTTTAACCAACTGGCTGTTAATGCAACTAAAAAAGAGTGAGTTTGGAGTTAACCATCTTACAATTTCCTATCTCTGCTATAAACAATGGTTGACTTGCACAAAGATCTATAGCATGAACAGTGAACAGCCTTCATACCCCATTCAAATTCTGGGAAAAAACATGTATAGTAACTATGTGGCATTCTGTATTGAAAATAAATTTTAGACCACACAGGCTCAACAAGAAACAGACTTAAAGATCAGCTAGAGATTTCTAACATGGTCCTGGAAAATTCTTGATTTTAGAACACAGTAGGAAACCTGACTTTGATCACTGTGCAGCCAGTTCCTAAAAGGCACATTTCTACTCATCTGAGTGTTTCAAAGGAAAACCAGGAGGCACTTACAGCCTTATGATCCACTGTCATGGACTTCCTCGATAGTCAGGGTGGTAAAATTATGTTGTGGTAGCAAATAAAGACCCACTCAAGCTTAATCAACTAACAAATGCAATTATTCTGCTACCCAGGGTAAGGGAAAGTCACTACCTTGTAGTTGCACATCTTTAAACAGAGGCTTCCATTGCCATCCTTGAACAGAAAAACCATCTGGAAGGTAACACCTGCTTTCTGTTTCTATCAAGCAGTTTGAATAGCTCGTTGACCATAAATCTCTGAAGGAGAGGGAAAGAGAAAAAGGAAGGAGAGAAAAGAAAGGGAACATGTACTTGGGTTCCAGAGAATCTCATCTGTAAGAAGGTAAATTATAGCAACAGTGGTGGTTAATTTTGGTGGTCCCCTTGGTTAGCTTAAGAAATGCCACTAGTGAGTCGTGTGTGTGTGTGTGTGTGTGTGTGTGTGTGTTAAGGCAGTTCTAGATTAACTAATATGGGGAAAGTCATCCTGAATGTGAATGACACCATCCTGATGTGCTGGTGCCCAAGACTGAACAATACTGGAAAAAAGGAGCAAGCTTCCAGAAGCATCAGCTTTGGGCTAGATGTGAACAGACTTAGGAAGACCGTAAAACCGCCAGTTTACAGTATTCTTCTGGGACTCTGCGTTTGATCTCACTGGCCTCACCTCCTAACACTAACTTTGCCCACCAGCCACCCCTCAGTTGGATAGCATCTATGCTGTGCTCCCCTGTGCACCTTTAAGCAACCCGCTTCTGTTGAGTTCCATGGAGATGATGTGAACACATGTTCACAAAGCAGATGTTGGGTGACGAACAAGGCAACACAAATAATGCAATTATCTCAATTTCCACTGTCTGTTCTCCAGTGTATTCCCAGTGGCTTACAGAGTCCTTAGTGCATTGTGGGAGCAAAAATTGTATGGGAGAGAAAATAAATATTAGTTATCGTAATTATTATTTCATCTACACCTATAGTTCTTTCTTTCTTCCTTCCTTCCTTCCTTCCTTCCTTCCTTCCTTCCTTCCTTTCTTTCTTTCTTTCTTTCTTTCTTTCTTTCTTTCTTTCTTTCTTTCTTTCTTTCTTTCTTT